GCCGGCCCTTCCCCGGGGCCCTCCACACCTCGGCAGCCACAGGCCCTCCACGTGGGGACCACCTCATCCTAGAGACGGCATCTCGCTCTCCTTAGCAACCACCAACACCGTGCCCAGACCGCCAGCCTCCTCCCTCCGTCTCCTCCTCTCTCCATGGAGACCACGATGCCACAGAGGCGGCTCCCTCGCCAAGGCAACCACTCGGCACCCGCCCGGACCACAGCTCCCTCCACGTGGCCACCACCAACACAGCCGTGGTGACTGTGACAGTCTCTCCCCTCGGAGGCAGCCACCAGCCCCAGCCGAGACGGAACAGCTCCAGCCTGTCTGCGGCCTCCAGCTTTCTGACCGCCCTCCCGACGGAATTCCAGACGCCCGACCAGACCCGCTATCGATTCTGCCCCACGTGTTTCTGCTCCCAGCTCACTCCCAGCCCCTTGGTCTGCCCCTCTCTACAGTGGGAAGCCCCCCCCACCTCAGGGAGGAGAGGAGACCGTGCTCTCCCAGGCCGGGCACAGACACCCCGACCCCGCTGGGGTGCAGGCAGGCCCTGGCGGGCCAAGGGGCAGGAGTGCGACTCCCTCCCACCCACCACGGTGGGCCTGTCCCGGCCTCCAGAAAGGCCTGCCACTCAGCCAGCTGCCTCACAGGCCCCGAGGAAGGGAAGCTGGGGAGGGGCAGGTGGGGACGCCCACAGCTGGGGGCGGGGGGGGGGTGGGCAAGGCAGGGAGGGCCGGACAGGAGACAGACAGGCCCAGCTACACCACAGTTCGCAAGGCCAGGTCATGTGAGCCCTGCTTACACTCGCACACGGTCAGAAGGACCCTGTCCTTACCAATGTCTGCGGGCTAAGGGGGCCCTCCAGCCCACGAGGCTCTATCCCTGGCCTGGTCTCAGGGAGGCCCCCTGGGCGGCGGCTGGCGCAGCAGCAAAATCAAAGGGGTCTCGGGTCCTGGTCCAGCTCAGGCGGCAGCAGCTTCTCACCCAGGTCCTCTCCTTCTGCGAGGAAGCGAGGGGGAGAAAGGGGAGGGAGGGAGAGGAGAGGAGGAGAGAAGGAGGGGGAGGGGGGCAGCAGGAGGGAGGGAGGAGGGAAAATGCTGAAGTCTTGAAGGGTACACTCACTTCTTTCTTAGGTTTCCCATGGCAACCGAATATACCACAAATGAATATCAGTGTGAGAGAGAGGGAGGAGGCAGAGAGAGGGGAGGGATGCAGGGAGATGGAGGCAGAGATGGAGAGAGATGGGGGAGATGGAGGCTGGGAGGTAGAGAGATGGAGGCGAGGAGATGGAGGCGGGGAGACGGAGGCTGGGAGATGGGAGAGATGGAGACAGGGAGATGGAGGCTGGGAGGTAGAGAGATGGAGGCGAGGAGATGGAGGCGGGGAGACGGAGGCTGGGAGATGGGAGAGATGGAGACAGGGAGATGGAGGCTGGGAGGTGGAGAGATAGAGGCTGGGAAAGGAGGAAGATGGAGGCAGAGAGGTGAGGGAGATGGAGGCTGGGAAGTGGAGAGATGGAAGCTGGGAGATGAAGGAGATGGAGGTGGGGAGATGGGGGAGAGGGAGGCTAGGAGGTGGAGAGATGGAGGGAGATGGAGGAAAGGGAGGTGGGGAGGAGGAGGAGATGGGGGCAAGGAGATGGAGGCTGGGAGATGGAGGCTGGAAGATAGAAGCTGGGAAATGGGAGAGAGGAGGCTGGGAGATGGGGGAGATGGAGGCTAGGAGAAGGGGGGAGATGGATGTTGGGATATGGGGGAGAGGGAGGCAGGGAGATGGGAGAGAGGGAGGCAGGGAGGAGGGGGAGAAGGAGGCAAGGAGGAGTGGGAGATGGGGAGGTAGAGGCTGAGAGATGGGGGAGATGGAATCAAGGAGGTGAAGGAGATGGAGGCTGGGAGATGGGGGAAATGGAGGCTAGGAGATGGAGGAGATGGCAGAGATGGAGGCAGGGAGGAGGAGGAAGAGATGGAGTCCGGGAGATGGAGAGATGGAAGCAGGGGGATGGAACCTAGGAGACGGGGTAGATGGAGGCTGGGAGGTGGGGGACAGGGAGGCTGGGAGATGGAGAGTGGGAGGTGCAAGAGATAGAGGCTGGGAGGTGGGGGAGAGGGAGGCTGGGAGATGGATACAGAAAGATGATGGAGAAGGGAGATGGAAGGCTGGGTCCCCATCCTACCCCATTGGGTTCAGGAGTGAGAGGAGGGAAGAGGCCGGGACCACAGGACTTCTTTCAATCCCTCCCTGGTTCCTGGAGGAGGGGCAAGCCACGATGGGTGGATTTTCTGGGTGCTGAAGGGACCCCATTCCTACCACCCCACCCCAGCCTAGCCCATGTTCCTGACCCCTGCAGAGCCCCAGGGCCTGGAGGTTCTTCCCACATCCCAGCCAGACAGCCCACTCAGTCACGAACACACACAGCATACCCAGGTGGGGATGCCCCCCACACCCTCCCACTCCCCGTGGCCAGGTGCTCACATACACAGCCCCTCCCTCCTCACATGGGCAACCACACCACCCTCGTATTGGTCACCCCAACACCAACCCGACCTACTCCTTCTACAACTGGGCCCCAGCCCCTCCGCTGCAGGGAACAAGCACCTCCCCACCTCCCCACCACCCCCCCCAGCCTACTATCTCCCATTGATGACTCGGGCACACACCCCTTCTCCCAGTGTGCCCACAGCCCGTGCCCTGCTGAGTGCCATGCTGCCTATGCACTCACACACCCTAAGAGTAATGCCCCTGCCTGACCTCCAGGGGCACAGACACACACACTTCCAGACAGACGGGCCTCCACCCCACCTTCCCCCATCTGTGCGTACGCGTGCACACGCATACACTCACTCTCTTCCCCCAGAGGCCCCTCTCCCTGCCTGGCCCACACCCCCCACAAGCCTAGATAGTCCTCCCAGCCCTCCCGCACAGGCAGGAGGCCTTGGCCCCCTCCACACTGCCATTCATAAACATACTACACCCTCCCAGGGCTGGCAGCCAGTGGCCAGAGAACAGACGTGCGCCCCAGGGCCCTGCGCTGCCCCGCTCCAAGGCAGAGGACAAGGACGCACCAGCTGGCTCCTGGAAAGGGCTCCCAGGCCCAGGTCCCCAGGGATCCCTCCTCCACACTGGACCCTGAGCCCGGTGGCCAGCAGACACCCTCATGCACACCAGCACCCCCCAGGACACTCAGGCAGCAACTAACACCCGAATTCCACAGCCCCTCGGACAGCCGTGTGTGTGCACAGAGACCCAGAGGCGCTGTCCCCAGCTGCCCACAGAAGCCCGATAGAGCGCTGCCCACCTGAACACGCAGACTCACACTTGTGCCACGATGCCCGCGGCCACGGCACACACGCCCCTCAACACACTCATGGAAACGCACTGGCGCCCACTCACCGTGGACGGCCCCCCACACGCACTCGGGCTTCACCATACACACCCAGACAAACATGCCCAAAGGCACGGGGGCCCCTGCACGGGCCCCACACACACCAACGCGCGGGGAACCACTCCCAGACACACACCCCCCCAGCACACGCAGGCCACGCCTGCACACCCGCCGCGCCGCCCTCCCAGCCCGTCCACACCCACCTGACACACACACCCCGTCCCGACAAGTCGCAGGCCCTCGCTCGGGCCGCCCCTCCGCCCCCTTCCCGGGGCACGCGCCGAGGCCTGCCGCCAGCCCCTGCCTGGCCCCCGCGGGTTTACGATCCCGCGCACCGTGCCGAGCCCAGAGGCCGTGAAATTGGCTGCGAGCGGCAAGGCATGCGGCTGCAAATTCTAAGCACAGGGAAGTAAGGCAGAAACCCGGCAGAAACCCGGCGGGCTGCGGGCCACGGCGCGGGCGGGGGGCGGGGGGCTGGCGGCCCCGGG